GGGGATGCTATACCATTCTTGCATGGATAGTCCCCACATCAGCAATGACTTTTCAGAGATCTCACTCTAGTTCTGCATACCTGTTCTTTAATAGAATTGTGGTTGTTGTCTCAATATCAGTGGATTCAAATTCAGTGGGTCATAATTTTTCTGTGTGTAGCATTAAAGATCTTAGCAAACCCAGTGTTGTTGTTGTTGTTAAGTGCCGTCAAGTCGGTTCTGACCCATAGCGACCCTGTATAGGGTTTCCAAGGAGCAACTGGTGAGCTTGAACCACCGACCTTGTAGTTAGGTGTGAATTTATTCCATGACACTAAGGCAGTGGCATTATTAGGGAGGTGCAGGGGTTAAGATCACATTGGTGTTGGCATGACACCAAAATGACTATCTATAAAAATTTAGTGCAGTGTTTCAGGAGAAATTTATTATGTTTACAAAAATATCCCTGTAGTTACAACAAAAACAATTTTTTAGAAGACCAGCTTACTTGTATCAATATACTTAACAAGGCTAAAATTCTATGCTAATTTACTTTTTGAACCTGCTAATGTTCCTGTCAGAAATGTCATTATTACCCAATTACAATGATGCCTTGAATCATGTGGTTTTGTCTGCATGAGCTATAAGCTGTTGTTTTCCTTGATGCCAGTGTTTTTATAATTGTTGGTTTTGTCCAATTTTCTGGTGTTTTAGCTACAACACTGTGGTAATTAATGTTTGTGAACCTATATAAGTAATTTTTGAGAATTTGAGCCTGTATCAGTAACTTTTTTATAAACGGAAAAGAAGAAAAAAATTTTAAAAAAATAATAAAAGTCTTCTGTTCATTTACTAATAATGTTGTACTTCAATGAAGAAAGACTTTACAAAACAATTTTGTGCGTAGGGGTTACAAGTTGGGCTGTTAACCACAAGGTCAGTAATACAAATTTACTGGAGAAAAATGAGGCTTTCTGCTCCCATAAAGATTTACCACCTCAGAAACCTTATACAGTATGGGTGGGGAAGGTCGAGAACCTCAGGCCATATGTTGTTGCTTTTGTTAGGTGCCATCGACTTGGTATCAACTCATAGCAACCCTATGCACAGCAGAACAAAGCTCTGCCAAGTCCTATGCCAACCTCACAATCATTGTTATATTTGAACCCATTACTGCTGCCAATACAACTTATTGGGGGGTCTTCCTCTTTTTCTCTGATCCTCCACTTTACCAAACATAATATTTTTCTCCAGTGACTGGTCCCTCCTAACAATATAGTCCAAGTATGAGAGACAAAGTCTGGTCATCCTGGCTTTCAAGGAGCACTCTGGCTGTACTTCTTCCAATATAGATTGGTTTATTCTTTTGGCAATCCCTGGTACTTTCAATATTCTCCTCCAACATCATAACTCAAAAAAATGCATCAATTCTTCTGTGGTCTTCCTTATTCACTGTCCAACTTTCACATGCATATTAAATTATTGAATATACCATGGTTTGGGTCAGGTGCACCTTAGTCATCAAACTGACATCTTTGTTCTTGAACACTTGAAAGAGGTCTTGTGCAGCAGATATGCAATACATCATTTGATTTCTTGACTGCTGCTTTCATGAGTATTGATGGTTGATCCGAGCAAAATGATGTCTTGGACACCTTCAATCTTTTCTCCATTTATATGGATGCTGTTTAGTGGTCCAGTGGTGAGGATTTTTGTTTTCTTTACATTGAGGTGCGACCAATACCAAAGGCTGTGGTCTTTGATCTTCATCAATAAGTATTTTAAGTCCTCTTCACTTTCAGAAAACAAGGTTTTCTGCCTTCTGGGGTGTGACTCCAAGGCTTTAGCAGTGGTTTTGTTGCCATGGCTGTGTCACTTTCCACTTGTCCCCCACAAGATACTGGTATTCCTTTACCCACTTCAAATCTTTTTCCCTTTTTGTCTCTTCTTGTATTTTTTCTTCTAACCTCCATGTAAGTTAAAAATTAGTAATGCTGATGTTTGTTTTCTTTCATGCTATCTAGCAGAGAGGCGGTTCTGTTTGTACCAGCTGTGACTGATGATCACCTCAAGCAGAAGGACATAATTTGCAGATGATCATCATAGGTTGTTTATGAGTCTTCATGTCACATTTTTCTATATATAATCTAGCTTCTTGGACTAGTTGCTCAGCATACAGATTGAACTAAGTATGGTGAAAGAATACAACCCTGGTGCACAACTTTCCTGATTTTCAACCATTCAGTGTTCCCTTGTTCTGTTCATGTACAGGTTCCTTGTGAGCACAGTTAAGTGTTCTGGAATACTGATTCTCCACAATGCTGTCCATAACTTGTCATGATCCACGAAATCAAACGCCTTTGCTTAGTCAATAAACCATAGGAAAACATCTTTCTGGTATTCTCTGCTTTCAGCCAAGATCCATCAGACGTCAGCAATGATATGCTTTGTTTCACGTCCTCTTCTGAATCTGGCTTGAACCTCTGGAAGTACTCTGTCAATGTACAGTTGCATCTGTTTTTGAATTTGATGCAAAATCTTGAGCAACATTTTACTTGCATGAGATATTAATGATATTGTGTGATGATTTCCACATTCCATTGGGTCACTTCTCTCTGGAATAGGCACAAATAAGGATCTCTTCCAGTCAGTTTACCAGATAGTTGTCTTCCAGATTTCTTGGCATAATTGAGTGTCTCCCCTGCCACATCAGTTTGTTGAATGATTCCATCAATTTCCAGTGCAGTGACTTGCCACAGTGGCAAGATGTGCCATACTTAGACAAGTCTTAGTAGGATGACCAGCCATCCTAGTTTGCACAGAACTGGAGATTTCCTGGGACATACGTATTTCTGGATCTGGATCAGTCCCAGGCAAACTAAAATAGTTGGTCATCCTTAGTCTTGAACGCATGTTTATTAGTTTACAATCCTCTCGCTGCTGGATTATAAACTCTAAGAAGACAAAGGATACGTCTAATGAATTTCTATATCCCATACCGAGGTGCATAATAGGCACACAATATATTTTTTTATTTTTATAACTAATCAGTAATTAAACAAAATAAAGTACAAAAATGCATGAAAAATATGTTACAAAAAAAAAAAAAAAATCCAAGGCCTGAGCCCCCTATCAAAAGTTATTTGAGCCAGCTGAAATTGAATGGGCTGGTTAAACTTACAGCTTCCTAGTTATACCTTCCAGGGAGCACTCTTTCTAGATTTAAAGAGGTAATGTCCTCTGAACAGAGGAGAATCCCAAGCACACTTACACCCTGATTTCTAGATCAGTTATTTCCAGTTTGGTGAGTTTGATAAACAGACCCTATCGATCCCATTTGGGTCCCTGTATCCTTAGGAAGACAGCACACCTGCAGATACAAGTAAAATGTGACAGAAGTATGAACTTCTGAAAAGCACAGGCTTGGCATATAGTCAGCATCCTGTGAATGTTTGTGATTATGATAGTGAATCATTTTCCCGTATCCAAATCACCTGCTGCCTGAATTTTAGTGACGCTCCTCTACACCTGCAAACTTATCAGTCCGTTCCTGAGGTCACAGTAACAGATTCCCTCCCATCTCCAGCTGCTGCCCAGAAGGATGATGGTGCTTCAACTATCCAGAGCCCTCCACCCCACCCCACCCCACCACACCACACCACTGCCTTCTGGGGTGTGACTCCAAGGCTTTAGCAGTGGTTTTGTTGCCATGGCTGTGTCACTTTCCACTTGTCCCCCACAAGATACTGGTATTCCTTTACCCACTTCAAATCTTTTTCCCTTTTTGTCTCTTCTTGTATTTTTTCTTCTAACCTCCATGTAAGTTAAAAATTAGTAATGCTGATGTTTGTTTTCTTTCATGCTATCTAGCAGAGAGGCGGTTCTGTTTGTACCAGCTGTGACTGATGATCACCTCAAGCAGAAGGACATAATTTGCAGATGACTAAAAGCTCTGACTACATATTTCCTGAAGTTTTGTGGTTTTCCCTGAAAAACTGCCACAGAAAATTGCCTCATTTCCATGAGTATCTTAAAAGGGTGTGCCTAAAAAAACTAATTTCAAATTGGCTTGTTTCTCCCCTGTTCTCTGGCAAAATGTCACAGTCTATTCAAGGGTACCCTTCACTCCTGGGGTCAGTTCTGACCCTTCTTTTGTCATGTAACTGATGAAACTTATCCTAAGTCCCTGCACCACCACCTCACCCCACCCTACCCACCTTCCTATGAGACCAAAACTCTCCTCCCTCTCTCAGGCTGCTTCCACTGCCTTCTAAAACCTTCTCTGGACATTCCAGGGGTATTCTCCAACCAGCTAACTCTATTCCCAGTTGTTTGTAGTACAGGCATACTTTTTTACCTTCTAAGTAAGACCTGGATATTCACAATATCCAGATATTAGTGTTTTATTTATAATTCCTAAAACTCCGTGTGTTAACAAAATGTGTGTGAACTGTTGAATGGAAAGCCAGTTTGCTATGTATTTTCACCCAAATCACAACAAAAAGTTAAAAAGAAAAACAACTCCACATTTACCAATGAGTGTGGTGGCTCTGTACAATAAGCACTGGACTGTGAACCGCAAGGTTGGCAGTTCAAGCCCACAAGCTGTTCTGCCAGAGAAAGGTGAGGCTTTCTGCTCCCACAAACATACACAGTCTCTAAAAGCCTACATAGGGGTCACTAAGAGTTGGAAATGACTAAAAGGCACTTAACAATACCCCCTCTGTGCTGATAGATACATACTTCAGGTTAAAGAATGTTTGTTAACCCCCTTCCTTTAAAAAAAAAAGAAAGAAATTTTTAACCCATTTGAGGTAGCCTCTCTGGCACATCTCTGATCCCAGAGGAAGAGCCGTGCCTTTCAGTATTGGTAATTCAAGCAGGAAGTTCTTCCTTCTTAGGGCCAAAGTGAAATGGCTCAGCCCTCCCCTGATCCCCTAAAGGAACTCAGCAGCCTTATCTGGTTCTGATCCTCAGAAGACCTGAAGATGAATTAGGGCTTATGAATGTCCTTGTTTCAGAAAAGAGAGTGGCTGCTGTTGGCCAAAGGGGAGCCCCTGAACCATGGCCATTGGGAAACAGTCCCTGCCAGCACCTTCTTTGTGATCATGCCGTCACCTACCCTCACTCTGCTGGTCAAGGCAGTGGCCACGCGGGAACTGATGCTGCCCAGTCCCTTCCCCCTGCTACCTGAGGACCCACCTGGTGACAGCCTTACAACTGTGGAGGCAAGTGGAAGCAAAATCTCAGCTCCGGGGCAGAGTGAGGTGAGAGAAGAGAAAGGAGTTGAGAAAGGATGAGGGAATGGATGGAGAACAGAGGGAGATGTGGCTCCCAAGGGTCAGAGAAGAAAGCAGGGCTAGCTGGTCAAGGTTGGAAGGAAGGAAATTAATGCTTAGATTAAGGCAACAGGTAAGGAAAGAAGAATGGCAGAAAAATTAGGAAATCAGATTGTAAGAAGAGACAGAAGGTTGGTGTAGGGAGTGGCAGGGGATTAGTGCCACCCCTGGAGGAGAACACACACACACCCCTGAAGCCTGATCTAAATGAACACCAAGAGCAGCTAAAAAAGAGAAAGGGGAAAATGCCATGGAAGGGAAACCTGGATAGAACAGGAGAGGGTGTGGAAGCAGGGAGGAAGTCTTCAACCTAGGAAGCTCCAACTCCAGCTCATGTACTTGATTCTGGTTTGGTTTGGTTCCTTTTGTACCCCACCTCCCATCCCGACTCTCACCATGGTAGGGAGGTTGTGAGGTTAGAAGAGAGATTGGGGTGGGAGGCAAAGAAGACACAATGGGAGGCAAAGGAAGAAAGTGGAGGAAGAAAAAGTTGCTAACAAATAAGAGGCTTTGTATGAGTTCTTGTGCCTTTGTATTTTGATTTTTGCATCCCTGAGTATGTGTGTGCAGTCTCTAGATTGTGTCTGCCAGTAAATCTGTGCACATCTGTGTGATGGCATGTCCTTACAAGCCCATTTCTCTACATCACATGTATATGTGTATACCCATGTTTGTGTGCATCGTTTTCTGTTGAGGGATAGGAAAAGGTAGCCAATGTAGGAGCCCATGATAGGAAGGGCCTCAAAAGGAGACTCAGCTCTAAAGGAGGAACAGCTCTGAAGGCCCATCTCTTCCGTCAGCCTCCCAGGCAGGGGTGGAAGGAGTGGCTCTGGGTTGGGAAGACTGGAACCATTTCACTGCTGGATGGCTGTCTTACATGCACAAAGGACAGAGCCTGGGATTGTGCTCTTGGTTTGGAGGCCATGGGATTTCCCAGAGAGGTGGGCATGAGTGGCTATGGCTCGCTCAGCGTCTCACTCCAGGGCCAATGGTCCCTGGTACAGGATGTTGTGGCTGGAAAACCTGACTGCTGAGGAATGCTGTACTTGTCCCTCCCATGAAGCCCACGGCTCACTTCAGGCTGAGAGCTCTGTGTACTCCCTGCCTCAGCTGGCTGTGCGGACCTGTCAGCACCCCTACTCCACTGGAGACAACCCTCCCTCAGCTCTTAGACTGCCCCCTTGTAGCCCTCCTGGCCCCTCTCAGAACCCTGGGACACGCTTCTCTGGACCAGTGTGTCCAATCCCCATAACTACTTGTAGCTGCGCCTGCGTGTGGTACCCTGGCCTAACACTTAACCTCACAAGCACTCAGACCTCAGGAACACCCGTTTCACCAACTTCAGTGAGCCCTCAGTCATTGGCATCTCCTCTAGCCTCTCACACTCAAGGGTCTCTGCCTAACACTTTATATTTCTACTACCTGTTTCCCTGAATGAGGCTACTTTTTTCTTCTCCTCAGAGTATGCTGGACAACCTGGAGCTGGAGGCCACATACAATCCGTTACAGATTTGGAGCCACCTATACTCACACCTGAGCAGCACCTTGACCAAGCCTCAAGGGCGGCTCCAGTCAAGTAGGGAGAGTCGGCCCCAGAGAAAGGTAACTGCTCCCATCCATGGCTGCCCTTTCTTATTTTCTTTTATGCTCAGAGGCCAAGAGAGAGCCATCCTGTCTGTTGTTGTTGTTGTTAAGTGCCATCAAGTCGGTTCCGACCCATAGCGACCCTGTACAGGATTTCCGAGGGTGTAAATCCTTATGGGAGTAGAAAGCCTCATCTTTCTCCCGCGGAGCAGCTGGTAGTTTTGAACCGCTGACCTTAAGGTTCGCAGCCCGATTCGTAACCACTACGCTACCAGAGCTCCTTCTGTAGCCCTGGATAAGTCGGTGGGTGAGGTCAGGTCACCCTCAGGAAGCTGGGCCTTAGGAGACAAGGATGAAGTTTTCAGAGAGCATGAAAACAAATGGAAGTGAAATCCAAGCCTCATTCCAAACTCTATTCCCCGATCCCTCACCCAAGAAGAGTAGCCTTTCACCCTGTTGTTGGTGCCATGGAGTTGACTTAAACTCATAGTGACCATATGAACAGAGTAAAACTATCCCCTAGGGTTTCCTAAACTATAATCTTTATGGAAGATCCCTAGGTCTTGGGGGAGCCTCTGGGTATCCGAGGGCTTAACCTTTGTGCCACCAGAGCTCCTTGGCCTTTTGCTCTAGAAGGAAATTTTCTGCTGTAATATTTAATATGATGGTTAGGTATTTTAATTAAAGCATGTATAACTCATTAGTCATTTAACAGACTACACTTCCACTAAACACAATGGTTACCCTGGAACTACAAAAAGCAAAGTCAGAAGAGAAGGGAAATTCACATTTTTAAGTACTAATTATTTGCATGTCTGTGATAAATGTTTTCACATATATTTTTCTCATTTAATTCCACAGCATCCCTGCAAGGTAAGTATTTAACTCATTTTTACAGTTGTGGACAGTGAAGCTGAGTGCTAGAGACATGGGGGTGAAGAAAGAAGAGTAATTGAGGGCAGAGTTCTTTTCTATGAAATGCCTATTCTCTAATGTTTGGGCTTCCTTTTGGTGTTATCTTTTCCTAGTTTCTTAGTCACGTTGCCTTTAGAGAAACTTCCATTCTGTCTTAATTACACTACATACTACAATCTAGAGGCAGGACCAGGGACCAGACACAAAGAGGCTACACAAAGTTTATAGGAAATGGAATTAAAAGGTAATGGAATTTCTCCATGAACTCTTTGAAGCCACTTCCTATGTGGAAAGGAGCACTGGTATCATAGTGGGTTACGGAGCTGGGCTGCTAACTGCAAGGTCAGTAGTTCGAGCCTACCAGTTGCTCCTTGGGAGAAGGATGAGGCTTTCTGCTCCCGTAAAGACATACAACCTCAGAAACCATATATAGGGCTGCTGTGAGTCGGAAGCAACTCAGTAGCACACACCACCACCACCTATGTGGAAAGAGAGCCCATCAGTCTGATTCAGTCCGGGCTAGCTGGCAGACAGGCTGGTAGCAAGGAGATTCAGCAGGGGACCAGCAGTGGAGGCTGGGATCCTAGGGTCTCCACCATCAAACCTTTGGGCTATCACTCCAGGGATGGGACATGTTAATGAGACAGGACACGAGGCCCAGCAGGAAATGGGACAGGAGGTAAGGACCTGAGGTCTTCAGACAAGACTCTGAATGCTTTTTGCAGGCCAATCGAATTCGAGCCACAGTGGCCCCTCTGCCTATGATTCTAGCTCCAGGAAGAGCCCCCAAGCTACCAGCAGCCCAGAAATCTTCCTCAGAAGCCTTCTTGCTGCCTTCCAATGAGGAGGAGGAAGAGGAATATCCCTGAAGATCCCAAATCATCAGTGCCAGAGTATGACTGCCCTGCTCAAACACTCATGCTAAGGCTCACACATGGCTGTTTGTGACCAGACTAGCAGTTTATCCACCTGAGCTCTGCACTCACTCCTGAGGGGCTGGGAAAGAGCCTGCCCATCCTCAAGCCTCTGGGAAAACACACCTCCACCTTGAATTTTCCTTCTCCAAGTAGGGGCTCTGTTTTCTTTAAGATCATTTGATACTGTTGACAGAGATGGAGATTAAACTCATTAAGCCTTCACCATTGTTAGGAACATTCCCTGCCAGAATTTCCCTTCCTAGCTGTTAGTTGGTAGATGAGGTCAGGTCACCCTGGGGAAACTGATCCTCAGGAGACAAGGTTTTCAGAGCTCATGAAAAACAAGTGTAATGAAACCCAAGTCTCATTCCAAAGTCCATGTCCTTCCCACTATACCCACCACACAGCAGTTCTCTTCAGCTTCCAGACAAGTGGTTGAAGTAGCCCATCCGATATGCAAAGTGGGGGTGCAGGGTCAGGGGAAAGAATGGTGTGAAAACGGCCTCCTCCCTTTCCCTTCACTACATGCCTGCCTACCTTCCAGTCAGCCCCCTCCATCCACAGTACTCCCCATTTATAGAACACGTTGTTACTATGTGCTGTTGAGTTGGTTCCATAGCGACCCTGTACAGGGTTTCCAAGGCTGTAAATCTTTACGGCAGCAGAAAGCCTGTTTTCTCCTGCGGAGCAGCTGGTAGTCTCAAACTACTGACCTTGCGGTTCACAGTCCGATTCGTAACCACTACGCTACGAGCTCCTTATAGAACACATACTGTACATAAAATTATAAGTATGTTAACAAAATTTCATAACTAACCTGTGAGACAGAGCTCATGATGAAGTTTTTCGTTTTACAGAGGGGCCACAAGAGAGAAAGTGAGTTAGAAATACCCTGTCACCTGCCCAGGTGCCCAGCTCTGCCTGATCTGCCATGTTCCTCACTTTCTCACTGCTCACTTCCCTCACTGGGACCCTCCAGTCCTTCCCTGGTCCCACAGTTCTGGTTCTTCTCTTGACTTCCCAAGACCTACCCAAAACACCTTGCCACCATGTCTGTTCATACATATAGCCTCTTAAACCCAAACTGGCTTTAATGGGAATAAACATTTTTTTTTTAATCTGATAAAGCACACTGCAGGGGTTAGGATCCAGATACAGTCCAGCATTTCCCTAGAGCCTCCACACAGGCCCCTCTAACTGTACCTATTTGGATCAAACACCCTTTCTACAGACCTGATTCAGCAGCTTTCTGGGGGTGGCATAGTTAAGGATGCTGAACCCTCTATTCCTGCTATATGTGAATTGGGGATTGCTCATCCTTCAGTTAACTCCCCTAATCCCTCTGAGTCCCTGGTGTCACACAGGAGTCTCCTGGGTCCTGGTTCCTTCTGGTCTGAGAAGTTTCTTTCAACCCCCATGCCACCTCCCCATCTTGCTATCAACTCCACTGGCCTGGCCTGGCCTGACTCTTATATGGAGCCCTCAGACTTGACTCCAGTCCTGGTGGTCCCGGCTTTAGAGAGCCCACAGTCCCAGCTCCCCGAGGCCCCACTCTTCTGGACCTGGCTATACAGGGGAGAGTCTGAGCTATGGTCTTTGCTACCATTGCCAGTTTTAGTGCCAGGTTCCAGGAAGACTAGGCCTTGGGGCTTGGGAGCTGGAAGAGGCTTTATGCTCTGAGGCACAGCGTAGTCATCAGTGGCTGGGTTATATGGGAGCTCGTAGCCCTCCTCCTTCACCCGAGCCTGACACCACCATGCATCCTTGGGCTCCTGAGGTAGGTCATAAAGGCCTCTGGGAGGGGCTGGGGCCAGGCCCTCCGGTTCATCATAGATGGGATCCTCTTTGGAGTCCTTCAGGTTGACTTTCAACAACTGCTGCTGCACATGCTCATACAAGTCCCAGTAGAGAGCCGGTTTCTTCAACTGCGCCCCCTCCCCTGCCCGAGCAAGGGTGCTATCCAGGGGGTCTGAATATAGGGAGTCCTGGGAAGGGTCTGGAGGGATGCGCAAAGAGTCTAAAGGTTCAGCATACAGAGTTGGGGGGCTGGCCAGGAGCTCCTGGGGGCTGCAAGGGGAAGCCAGCTTCACATCTGCCACGTCTCGTTCATGAGAGTCCACTGTCATGACATCGTGCGCCTGATTGGCTCTTGCCTGGGCCTTCTGCTGGTGGATTGCATTCTCAATTGCCTGAAAGATGTCATTTCCCTGTGCCGTCTGGAAGGTGAAGGTACCAGGACCAGAAGGGCAGCGGCGACCAGCCTCAAAAGAAAACATAACCTGAAGGAAGTGTGGAAGGAAGCATCAGAGGAGATGAGTCACAAGCTGAACTAGGTTCCGAATCTGAAAACAGATGACCTAGAGGAAGGTCACAGGATAGACAAAGAAAGGGGATCCCAGAGAACAGAGCTTCCCACTTTCCTGTCCAGTCTCACCCTGTCCATTGCTGCTAGATCCAGCAAGCCCTCTGACAGCCCTCCCTGATAGTCCCCACCCCCACAAACACACACCTTGTCACGGCCATAACGACGCAACAGAGTATAGGGCCAGGAAAGCAGGGGCTCCAGTCCCTGACTCTGGGTCCCAGAGGTCAGAAGAGTCAGTCTTTCAGCCTCTGCCCTCAGCACATAGGAGCCATGCAGGCCACAGCGCTCAGCTGCCTCAGTCCTCTGCACGGTTACCCAAAACTGGACTCCTGAAAAGAACACAGATTAGATGATTAAAGGAGCTACGGGGGGATGTGGACTGGGAAGGAGTCAGAAGCAGAGTGTCCAAACACCCACTGAGATGCCAGATCTCCTTCCCCATGGGTCCATGCACCCTCTAATCACTCCCTTACCATCCCAGCCAGGAATTCTATGGGACCTCTACCTGACCAGGTGGGGCTATACAATGAGTTCTCCAGCATCTCCAACGCTGAAAGTTTGGGTGGATTCTCGGCAGGCGCCGGAGTCCAGCTGCCTTTCTGTCATGAAGAGAAAGACTGTAGATGACCCCATAAACCTCGCCCTCCCCGCCCCCCAGCCTGGCTCCCAGGGTCTTAGCCAGCCGGATGCCGCGGTTGCAGTAACTCCCTCCTCCCGGCGTCGCCCAGCCCCTCGCCCACAGTCCCCGGGCCCCTCACCGGAAAGGCATTTCGGCACAACTTCTGCACCCAGGCGATGCTGGACCGCGCGTCCGCAGCCAGCAGGTGGGAGCGCTGCGCAGTATCCAGGCGGAAGGCTGTGGCGCCGGGCTCAGGGGGGCTCTCCACCGCCACCGGGGCCACACTCACACACTCCGCAAGACGAATCACCTTGCAGTCCAGGCGGCGCGAACTCCCGCGGCCCCCCCCAGAGGCCGACCCCTTGTGGTCAAAGAACTCGAGGCGGGCCACGCCGTGGGGGCTGGCGGGGTAGAGCACCGCCCAGGTCTTCCTCCACCTCTGAAGAGAGAGCGAGACGCTGGGGAGGGTGCGGGCGAGCCGTGGCTGCCCGGACCCCGACAGAGAAGGCAGAACAGGCTCAGGCTTTGGCATCTGAGGCTTCCCGACCCGGGCCGAAGTCTCTCAAGGGCGATGCCGCTCCGTCTCCCCAGGAGCAAGAAGGGCGTACCCAGACGTCGGCAGACGAGTCTCTGGAGTGTGCAGAGCAACTTTGCGGGACCGCCACCGGGCTCTTCAACTCCAGGCGCCGGGCGGGCTCCAACCTGTGCCCACTCCCTCTTTCTTTCTGGGCCCTTTCACCCACCCCCATCTCTGAAGGGGTTCGACAAACCCCTACTCCCCACTACCTTGGTTCCGAAGCGCTGACTCTGCAAAAAGAGCGGTCCTTCCATCTCGGCCCCGTCCATGGCCCCCGGCGGTTCCTTCCGCGCTTCCTGGCCCGGCGAGTGGGAGGCGGGCCTGGGCGGGGCGAAGGCGTCCCTGCCCCTTTCCAGCCCCCGCGGGCCTTGGAAGGCGGGGCGGGAGAGGACCTTGAAGCCCTGGGGTCTCTAGATAAACTGGGTGGACGCACCACCTCCAGGTCCTGGTCCACGGCCACGGGGAGCGCATCGTGAGAAAACTTCGGGATCCGACCACAGCACCAAAGTGCCTGAACGCAAGGGCTGGCTGTGACGTCATGTGTTCAGCTTGACGTCAGAGTAAAGACCCGTGACATCACCCTGGAAGGGCCACATGGGCCCTCATGGCCTCAGTTCCTCAACTGGGCCCACTCCAGTCCGGCCACAGTTGGTCTGTTTACCGTCGGCCGAGCTGGGGGGGTAGCGGGGTAAGGGCTGGGGGGGCCTGGAAGGCTTCCCGGAACCCCAAGCAGAGTCTTGTCCTCCCGCCGCCACTGGGGCCGCCGCCCAGCCCGTAGGCGGCCCCTCGGCCTCTTGCTTGTCCAGTTCCCCGACCGCAGCTGTATGGCCTCCAACCTGCGGGAAAAGAAAGCTTCATTGAGCCAGCCGCAAGGATGTAGGGGGAGGTGGAGCGGCTCCGGCCAGCGCCACGGGGGAGGGGAGGACGAAGAGGAGAAAAGGAGGGAACTGGCGAGGGAGGAATCTAGGGAGAAGGCGGAATGTGGGAGGGCTCTAGGGAACGTAGGAGGGACGAACGAAGGGGGAGGCTGGTCTCCCCTGGCGGAGCTTTTTTTTTTTTTTTTTTTAAGGGGAAATCCTAGCACTGATCTCCAGGACTAAGACGCTTCACCCAGCCCCTAGGGCCCAGCTCAGCCAAAGGTAGGGGGGAGTTAGGCTGACTTTTCGGGGAGGAACGAGAGTTGGGGACGGAAAGGATGGTGAAGGGACCAGGGGGAAAGGATGGAGTCGAAGGAATGCCAACCCATTGAGGGTTTATTATTGACAAAAAAGAGTGAGTCACTAGAAGAGTGGAAAAAAGAGGCAGGTGGGGGTAGGGGTCGTGCAGGGTGTTCCAAATAGGGCATCCGGGAGGACCCTGAGGCTGGGGATTTCTCAGGAGGCTTTAGTCCTCTTGCCCACAGCCAAAATATTCGCAGAACAAAGATGTTTTGTTGGGTTGTTTATCTGGGTTGGGGGAAACATGTTCCAGGGAGCCCCTCACTGCAGAGAGTTTGTTGATAGTCCAGACCAAGAGAAGGCCTAGCCTGAGGATCGGATCAGAGCCTCTGGTTGCTCGGTGACAGCAGAGGCGATGTTGACTAGAGACTCAAACAACCCCACCCCATCCCCCTGCCCAGCATGAGGCCTGGCCCTCCTGGGCCTCTTGACCCTGGAGTGCATCTGAGAGTCAGTGTGCTGGGGAGGGTGTACAGCTACTTCTCCATGTGGCCTTGTATTTGCCTTCCCTGTTTTAGCATCTGGGACTCTGGGCTCCACTCCCATTTGGAGGAGCTGAGGGTCTCCTAGATCCTGTTTGCCTGCTTCTTAGCACAATTAGTAGTTATCTGTCCATCTGTATAACTGGCTAAATGGGGTCATCTAGGTCCCTCCCGTGTCCTAACTCCAGTCCATTGCGCTCCCCTTCATCTGCTGCCTGCATCTTTTTCCCTCACTCCCCATTCTTTGTACCTGGCGCTCTCCCAGTCACTTTCTGTACGTCTTCAGGGTGTCTCTCTCTCATAGCCTCGTTCTGTTTGTCTCCCTTTCATTCTCACACTCTCATTCTATCTGCCTGGGTCTCCCTCACTGTCTGACTTTTGCACCATCGATGTCTCTTTAACTCCCTACTTGGACCATTTTCTGATTCTTGGTCTCTCTAATCACTGTCTTTCAAGCTGTGGAAAGCTCAGATTGGGAAGTAAGGGCTAATGGAGATGATGATAGGAGAAATGGGGAGGGACATTGTGGTACAAAACAACTGATTATGAGGTTTTCTATCTCACAATCTTATCTTTCTCTCTCCTCCAGCTTTCTCCTCTCTTTCTTTCTCTCCCCTATCTGGATCTGAGTCTGGGTCTGGGTCTCTCCATCCTTTGCCTCTTTAACTTTGTGTCTCTACCCTTATTTACTGTCTTTCTCTCTCAGGACCTCTCTGTCTCAGGTCTTTTTCAGCAACTTTTTTTTCCTTTCATGACATTTCTCTTGGACACTGGGCCTCGCTCAATCTCTGTTTCTCTCTCATACTTTTTCTCTCTCTCTCCAGGGCACTTAGGCCTTCCTTGCCATGTACCCTGTTGGTGTCTGGCAGCAGAGCCTGTGCAGGCTGCTGTTGTGCCTACTATGCAGCTGGGGCATGGGGTCTCCGCCCCTGTCCACGGACCCTGAGAAGAGGGACGGAAGCCAGGGGCTACGGTTCCGGCTGGCTGGCTTCCCCAGGAAGCCCTACGAGGGCCGCGTGGAGATACAGCGGGCTGGTGAATGGGGCACCATCTGCGATGATGACTTCACACTGCAGGCTGCCCATGTCCTCTGCCGGGAACTAGGCTTTACTGAGGCCACAGGCTGGACTCATAGTGCCAAATACGGCCCTGGAACAGGTGAGCAATGCCCCAGGAAGAGCCTAGATACCCCAATTGCCTCTATGAGGCTGAAGTGCAGCGAGAAGGTATACCAGCATGGTACAACCATGGGGACACAAGATACCAAGAACAGCCAGTGTCAAGAAAACCCATGGGTGACTACCAAGCCACTAGAGTCACTCCTTAGATTGCTCCATTGCTTTCTCAGAGTTTCAGATGCCCCATGTGTAAAAATAACTAGATGATCTCTAAGTCTCTATCTTCTGCAAAAATGTATTCTTCTACAAGTACAGTAAAGTACAGCTTGTACCATGGGAGTCTTTTTGTTGTTAAGTGCCATTGAGTCAGTTCCGACCCACAGTGAACCTGTATAGGGTTTCTGAGGATCAGCTAGCTAGTGAGCTTGAACCACCAACCTTGGAATTCAAACGGCTTTGCAGGCTGGTGCATTAACCCACAGCGCCACACCAGGAGTCTTAAGAGCAGGTAAATGTGTGGATATACTAGAGTCAGAAGGGCTTACAAATACTGCAGTTGACAAAATCAAGTTACAGGTCATAGCTGAAGCCTACAAACTGGGGCTTCTAAGTGGGGGGTGGGGGTGGAAATAAGAACAATTCTGACTGAGGCCTGGGAGTACTTGCAACCAGAATTGCTTATCAACCTTAATTAATGCACAGAAGTTGGTGAGACCTGAAGCTGATTGCCCTAATCCATACTAAGTAGACTACTTCTAGAATAATGTGTCTACTCATAAATGCCACTAGAAAAATCGAGTACTTTCAGAGGAGAGCTACCCAGATGCCAAAGATTCAGAAGCCTAGTGTTAAGGAGGAATATCTGGAGAAACAAGAGATGTTTGATCTAAGGTGGGGAGCAGGGGAAGCCTTAGAAATTCCATGATGTTGCTAGGTGTCCTCCAGCCAGTTCCAGCTTCATAACAACACTGTGCACAACAGAACAAAACACTGCCTGGTCCTGTACCATCCTCACATTTGTTATATTTGAGCCCATTGTTAGTGCCACTTTGTCAATCCATCTCACTGGGGGGTCTTCCTCTTTTTCACTGACCCTCCATTTTTCCAAGCATGATGTTCTCCAGGAATTGGTCCCGCTTGACAACATGTCCAAAGTAGAGAGATGAAGGTTCACCATCCTCACTTTTAAGGAACACTGAACTGTGCTTCTAAAAATAGATATATTTGTTCTTCAGGCAATATTTTTTGCCAATACCTTACTTCAAATCCATTGATTTTTTTCCATTGTCTTCTATATTCATTTTCCACTTTTCACATGCTTATGAGGCAATTGAAAATACATGCTGGTTGTCTTTAAATACAAGGGGCTTCCAAAAGTTCATGGAAAAAATTCCATTCTCTTTAATTTCAAATTTTCCATGAAATTTTTGAAACCTGCTCATTTATTAAGGACAGCCATGTGACTAAGGGCTTTTTCTGCATGGCATTAAAGAAAGAACTGAACTAGACATGATGGAAATCAGAAGGACTTTCTGATGGTTACAACAACCTGGTGAAGGAAGATGTCCCAGTAGAAGCGGGATAAGCCCTGTAATGGCTTACCCACTCAGTTCTAAGAAGAAGCTAATGCTAATCAATATGATTCAGGCAGAGAGACCAACAAAGGTCAACATGGCAGCGCAAGCAGGGCAGCCAAGTAGAAAAATGTGTCACTGAGGTGAAACGCACTCTGCTTCCTAAGTCTCAAAGCCTCCACACAGCTATGTGACCAAGTGTTCTTATGCATGTTACTTAAATTCTCTGAAGCCCAATTCCTTTATATAAAACAGTGATAATATCTTCTTGGCAGTACTGTTCCAAGATGATCACATGGGTATGGAGCCTGGCAAAGTGCCTGGCACACAGGGTACTTAATTAATTGTAGCACTCATTGAATGAGTAAGAACTAATCAGAACATCAGTGTTGATTCTTTTTTAAATATAGTAAGGTCAGCCATGTGACCCTTACCAAATCTTGGGGCTCCCTCCATCAATCAGTACGCCCTTCCACAGACTCCTGTCTCTTCCATAACCGTTTGTTGTTGTTGTTAAGTGCCATCAATCTGGTCTCAACTCGTACTAACCCTGTATACCGTTTCCAAAGCTTTAAATCTGCCGGTGTAGAAAGCCTCATCTTTCTCCTAAGGAACTGGTGGGTTTGAACTGCCAACCTTGTGGTTCACAGTCCAATGTTTATCCTATCTTCCCAGAAAAGTGAGCTCATTATGGCCAGATGTGAAGCCCCAGTGTTCAACCCTCCCATAAGCCCCATGGCTTCCCCATTCTCCTCTCCAAGCTTCTCTCCCTTCTTTACCCCCTCGGCAGGTCGCATCTGGCTGGACAACATAAACTGCCGTGGGACTGAGCAGAGTGTGACAGAATGTGCCTCCCGAGGCTGGGGGAACAGTGACTGTACCCATGATGAAGATGCTGGGGTCATCTGCAAGGACCAGCGCCTCCCTGGCTTCTCAGACTCCAATGTCATTGAGGTGTGTAGTTCATAGACACACACCTATACCCAAACAGGGAGGGCTGTGGGTGGCTATTTGTGGTTAGAGGAGATACCAGAAGGTCAGAAATCCCATGTGTCCCAGAGGATATTGGGGTTGGTGGGAGGCTTAGAAGGGGGCCAAATGGTAGCGCTCTTGGTTTCTAAAATGTCCAAGCTTAGCATTAACTTTGAAGTTACTAATTCTGTCAGGGACCTCTCAAACGTCATCCCTGGTCACCCGGGGACATCCTGGGTTCCTGTTACCTTCAGATGGTCCTTTTTTATTTTCTCCTTCTCCTTTGCTGTTGTTTAGTGCTGTCTAGTCAGTTCTGCCTAATAGCAACCCTGTACAGCATTTCCACGGGACAACTGGTAAGTTTGAAATGCCAACCTTGCAGTTCAAACCGAGCTGGTGGCCCAATGCTCACCCCACAGCGCCACACCAGGGCTCCTCCTTTAGGGCCAAATTTAAATTCTTGCCTTATCTGGAAGTGGTGCCCCTGCTCTGTAATAGGGACTAGTGAGACTCCCGCTCCTTCCTCAGCTCCCTCAGTACCTTTAATCAGTTCTTGGAACACAGTTAAGTACATCCCTGCACTCTCACAGCTGCCAAAGAGTCAGCCTTCTGCACACTGTGGATCCTCTGAGAGTAGGCATGACATCTCTCTCAACCTGTCTTAGTCCCATCAAACCACTGGGTTTACAGCAAGCACCTAAGAGTGCAGACCATCTGAAAGGAGTCACAGTGATACTGGAATTACCCTGCTATGTATGGTCTCATCCCAGGTAGAGCATCATCTGCAAGTGGAGGAGGTGAGGCTTCGGCCAGCTGTTGGGCGGGGCAGGAGACCCCTGCCTGTGACTGAGGGACTGGTTGAAGTTCGGCTTCCTGAGGGCTGGTTGCAAGTTTGTGACAAAGGCTGGAGCGCCCACAACAGCCACGTGGTCTGCGGGATGCTAGGGTTCCCCAGCAAAAAGAGGGTGAACACGGCCTTCTACAGGTGAGGAGTTGTGGTCACTGGGTAGAGCAGAACTGGAGGGTGTTCCTTTAAGAATGATGCCAAGATACCTCAGAGAGGATCCCTGCATTGGGAACACCCAAGGGTCTGGAATAATGGGAAAACATGGAAGCTGTTGGGAAGCCTTGTGGGCCCTGGATCTGAAATGGGGACCAGTGAGATTCCTGCCCTCCTGAGGGGGCAGGGCGAGTGGTGTGGGATTGTGCCCCCTGACGCCAGGCGTTGGCAGGCAGATTCCCAGGACCGGTGCGCAGCTGATGCCATGCCCACAGGCCCAGGGGTAGGGTCCTGGAGGTCTGAGCCGGTGAGACTCAGGGCCCACCCTGGAGTTCACAAGCGTGCACAAGTGTGTGCGTGGGTGTGGCCAGCACACAGTTGGGCGGGCCCAGACTAAAGAGCAGTGTCAGTTAGGTCAGGGCCTGAGGCCCCACGCTGGGCGGTGGGCCCCATCAGAACACCGCCCCTGTTCCCTGAGCTGCCAGAGACTGGAGAGGATCTGGCCCGCCCTCAGTCCAGGCCACTTCAAACAGTGAGCCCTCAGCAGCCTCAGGCAGTTTCTTCCAGAACGTGCCCTCACCACCTGCACCATCCAGATAACAAATCACGCTGTGCTTATTGTTGTAGATAGGTCCCATCAAGCCGCTTCTGATGCATAGAGACCCTATGCACAACAGAGCCAAACACTACCCAGTCCTGTCCCATCCTTACAATGGGCACAACTCGAGCTCATTGCTGCTGCCACTGTGCCAGTCCATCTAGTTGGGGTCTTCCACTTTTTCACTGACCCTTCACTTTACCAAGCATGATGTCCTTCTCCAGGGACTGGTCTCACCTGATAATATGCCCAAAGAATGAGAGACCGAGGCTCACCATCCCTGCTTCTAAGAAGCACTCTGGTTGTACTTCTTCTAAGACAGATTAGGGTAGCATGTGTGCTTACAGCATCTCGCTCTCCAGGTACATCTTATTTGATCATCTTGAGCAATAGTGAGTCTTTGGGAGCCATGCAACTATTTGAAAATCTTTACACCATGTCTCCATCATCTTCTGTATTGTTGTTTTCTTCAGCTCTTTCCTAGCTAGACCTGTGTGGCAGAAAATACCTGATGGCATCTAAGTGACCTTCCACTAGGCACACTCCTTCAGCTGGGGTCTAATCAGGGCAGAGTAGGTAGAAATGGTCCCCTTTGATTGGAGGATGGTCGCTATGAGTCAGAACCAACTGGAAAGCACTTAACAACGTTTGCATTGCCTTTCTGATGAGGCCGCAGCATCACACTGCTAATATTGAACTTGTGACCAATTCAACCCTTCCCTTATTCTTGATCCTGAGGAAGTAACTTTTTTGAACCTAAATATCATGAGTTCACCCTATTAAATTCAAATTTTTTAAACCATTGAAGAGCTATGATGATCCCATGAAGTGATCTTGAATCTCAACATTGTTTTCCATCTGTCATCCCTTCCATTTTCCTCTGGTCCAAAGACATGATAACTATACCTCTGGCTTTTTCAGAATCACTGCTTAAGAGGCTTGATGTTTTTAAAATTAGACTTCGCTCTTTTTCTGAGACTTTCCTTCAGATTTACCTCAAACCTTTAATCATCAGCTGTGAAATACATTTTTTTCCATCAATGGGGAGCAAATCAGCACACAATTATGTGACAAACTTTTCATCTTCCTGTCATTGTTAGTACCATTGAGTTGGTTCTGACTTGTAGTGATCCTGTAAAGGGTTTCCAGGGAGCAGTTGGTGGCTTTGAACCCACTGACCTTTTGGTTAGCAGTCCAGTGCTTATCCTGCAGTGCCACACCAGGACTCCTTTACCGTCTTACCCTTAATAAAATCATGGGAATGTTTGCTACTCTGCTAAAATCCAGATATACTTTGTTCATAACCATTCTCTAGCTGTTTAATTAATATCCCTATCAAAAATGAAATCATAGTGATTTTTTTTTTCAGTTTCACATTCAACACTTCATATAACTTGTTTCATTACATTGATTATAATCCCCTCCATATACCATCAGTTAAAAGTATTTCTCTTTATCCACTTTAGCTTTTTTTAAAAAAACACACAAACAAGAAAACCCACTCAGGCATATATAATAAATTACATCTCCAAAGGGCACATTCTGCAAGTCTGCTCCTGGCCACCAACTCTTAGTCCTTCACTTCTTAG